GGTACAAGGTTTTTAGTGGACTTACAGCAGATTCAAAATTTTATTAATCTACTTTTGTTTGTGTTATACCAATTAGTATAGCATAAAACTTAGCTAATAATCCATATCTTAATAGTATACAAGTTTTAAGTTCTTAGTTTTATAAGACAATATTAAAAAAATTCTGAATTTCCCCTAGTTTGACATATGACACATTTTCTCTAGGTATCTATATTTTATCCAACACCCTTCCAATAAGTATGAAATTAAACATATGTTATTCACTATAGAATTGCCATTGTTCAGAAAAACCATAATTTTTGTAGCCTTCAATTTTGTTTGGTTATAGAGCCATCAAATAAAAAATCAGATCCCTCTTGTCACACCCACCTGTCACATCCTCTCTTTCAGGATTTGTTAATAGTTCTCTCTTATGTTTAATTCTATATTATCTCTAACCAATAGAAAGCCAAGGATCTTTATCTATCAAATGATGTATTATATAATGTTGTTTTCTGAATGGAGAATTGCCAATTTCTCTTTTACTACAAGCTTTATTACCATGGGAAAAATAACAACTATGTTGGATGATTTTGTAACGGTACTTTTCACATAGTTAGAAAGCCAGAAAAATTGTGATAGTTAGGGGGAATTGTCTACTTTTTGCATGTTATTATTCTGTGTTCTTTGGTGCATTATGTAATTAAGTCAAAATTATTTAGTGCATTACTACCATTAGCATAAAAAAGTAGGGTAAGTGTCATTGACAATAGAGAGCAAAGAAAAAGAAGACTCGGGTAATTACTTTATTTCTTGTTTATTCTTTATTTATTATTATAAAAGTAACTAAAATTTAGAAATAGGGATCTTTTTAGGTTAGTTAATGTTAGATTAGGTAAAATAAATAATAACAATAGGATAATAAAAAACATTTCATGAAGCACACATGCTAGCAGCTCGTGGGTAATGTAAATAGACAGTGTGACATGTTCTCGAAGTGATTTACAACTTATAATGGCATGAATAGTAGTTAAATATGGTTTAAAGGGCAGTAAAACAATAACATTTAATTATAAATAGATGTATACTATTACGAGTTTAAATCTACTTAGGATATATTAATGTAGTTTCATGTTACAGTTTGAAGTCATTCTAGAAAGAAAAAAAGGATAATTTAGATTATTTTAGATTTTTTTTTGGTAGTTATGAGGTAAGTCAAATTGACCAATGTTGTTTAGAGTTAGGGTAGAGAAAATAACAGATAAACTTTTACCTTATCTGCCATGATAAAGTGTTATTTGCCAGATGATTCAATGACAAATTCTAAATTGTAAAAGTCACACCTCTAGAATAGAACAAGTCATTGTTGGATGAACATTGTTTTTTCATGGAAATTTATCAATCTCACTTTTTCTATGCAAATATTGTAAAACAAATCTTCATACTCCAGAGTTCATTACAACACTTGGAAAGACTAAACGTGTAACAATTGGAAAGTACACAATTGAAGTAAGTCTAAGATAAAACTAGAATTCATTTATTAATGGGAACAGTTAGTAGAAAGTGGAGTGCCATGTTAGCAAAAACCTCAAGACTTATCAGATACCTTTCATTGCCTTGACTTTCTGAGGGCTAAGAGGTGCCCTTTCTTCTGTTGATCCCTAAACCTAGGGCAAACCTTGTCCTTAACAGGTCTATCCTTCAGTACATCAAACCCCCAAATGCTGACAGCAAGATTCTTCACAAACAGAGAGTGCTTTGGTTGGCTCTGGAGTGATTCACACTGCTGTTTAGGGAGGCATATATCACTTCTAATGGAGACCTGGAAGACGGTATGTGCTATTACTTAACTGCTTTGTAGGTTTTAATCCTGAGTGCAACAGTGTACACTGAGTGGTCACAAGTAAATAGACACCTAATTTTTCGTCATTTAATTGATTTATGCTAACTAATTTGTGTTCACAGAGCACTATATAAATGAAGATGGTCCGCACACTAATTATCTTGTGCTACAACATGCCTAGAACTCAAGGTTCTCTCGAATTGTCAGATTTTGTTAGAGGAAGGATAGTTGGTCAAGAAGACGGTGGAATAAGTCAGCGGCAAATTTCGCAGAATCATCGTGCAGTTCAGGAAACACGGCAAGGAAACAACTGAGCAG